CTTGGGGCCTTTTACCCCCCCCCCCGTTTAATCATATTGTGACTGTTTTCACACCACCTCCGCAGCTCACATTAAAGCAGTGTGAGGCCACTTACTGCTCTAACTAAGGGTTAGCCGTGTCGTTTCTAGCAGCAGCGTATGTTGAGCGATCGATGTTTACACAGATCAGAACTGGCGTCGTCTGTACTGTCAGTGTTTGTAGGGTGTGGTTTTTAATATAACTACAGTCCTTAAAACATCACACACTGCACTAATTAGTGGTTCCATTGTGTAGCTCTGGTCACATGCAGAAGGTCCTGGGTTCAAGTCCCAGAGGAACCACATACTTAGGGCCTCTGAATTATTATTAATGCTATCATTCAAATGTCCACCACGGCCTGATTGGTTTATTTAGTGGTAAAATCGCTCTTTTGGTTTTCAAGGATGCAGACCCCTGTCTTTGACCTTTACTCTGGTAACTATTACAAATATATGCCTCATATTAAAACTTCAGTCTAGCGAACCAGTACAATGGTTGAAGGTCATTTGCCCTTTGACCTTCAGCCATTGTACTGCTTCTTCTTCTTTTTATTGCTTTTTATATGTCGATATGTTGAAGCTCTATCCTAACCTAGTTAGGTCATAATTCTGGTCCACTTTATCTAATAATCTCCTCAAAAATAAAAATCTCTGACTCTTTGAATTCTTCCAAAAATAGGTTCCTAACTAGGTGGCGCACAAACACAAACACACACATGGATCTGTGCTATCTCCAGGATCAATCATCAGGTTGTAACCTCAGCATATCAGTTTGTTTTATTCTTGGAAACATTACAGTCAATAGTTTTGACTTTTGCGTAACAACCAAACTCTCTGGAATTGGGTTTGATCCTGTCCAGGTCAATAGCCCTGCAGCAGCTGAGCACCAATCACCTTCCACTGCAGTGAAACTCCCTTCACTGCTGGATCACACAGAGCAGAGCAGCCAAGCTGGCCTCCTTTATTTCACATTTTTGCCTGATTTCTACCTTGATATTGTTGCCATGTCAGCAGTCTGTGCACTGATTGGCTGCAACTGCGACTGCACTGGCATCTAATAGTAACCTTTATCACCATCTGAGCCAGATTAGCTGCTGCCTCCTCTTGTTTGAGTTGCACTTGTATATATTTGTTTGACTATCGAGGTCTTACTGTGATTTCAAAGAAAACCTATAAAGATGCAAATGGTAGATTCTGTGGAGACAAAGTTCAACCTGCAGAGTCGATGACTCAGCCTCTCCTAGGGCTTTGACAAAGGTTTCAACAAGTCAGATCCCTGCAAGTCTGAATTATGCAAATGCTAAAATCATCTGGTCTTTTCACAGTGACACACCAGCGTTTCAGCTTGAAGTCTGGATCCATTTCTCCCGCCGGGTTTTTAATCAGCCTTGTTGTACAAATTGGAAAGAAAATAGTTTTAAGCCTGCTGTTTTAAGCAAATTTAAACTTTATGCATCACCTTAAACACTTTCACTATTTTCTAGGTCAAATTTACATTACACATGTTCACACAAATACTTTTAAAAGTGTATATTTATTTTGCCTTGAATTAATATCTGGCTGACTACTGAGTGTAAGATAGATTTAGCTATAAGTAGCCACTTATTTAAATTTCACACTTAGCTATCTTTAGATTTTTGTGGCATTCAGGAGCTTAAATTCATCTTTAATCATTTGTATTCTATTATCAAGTATTGTACAACTATGTAGCTATTTAAGCTAATCTGAAGCTATCAGGAGCAAAAATATATATTTTTTAAACTTAAATTACTTTTTCCTCTAATACTGAGGCACTTTTCAAACTTTTAAAAGCACAGAATCTGTATGCTAGCTTCTGTAAGTAACCTTTAATCTCAATTCCAAGTGGTAAAAAAAAAAAAAATTACATTCAACAGTTTTACAGTTTAACGTTTCCAAAAATATGGGGTTTATTGACTTAACTGCAATCAATACTTACAAAAGAGGGAAAAAAACAGGTTTTCATATAAACTCACAGAAATTACTGTAGTGAAAAAAAAACAAGGCTGAAAAAAAAAATTACATTCAACAGTTTTACTTTCTTTGTGTCAAAAACTTGGTTTCACCCCCTTCCAAACATCATGAAGGCAACGGGGAACAAGTGACTCTATTTAAAAATAATATTTCATTGTCCTCCATTTTATCAAATATATAAAAGGCTTTGGGGGAAGCCTTAGCTACCTGGAATGTATTCAACGAGGCACTTCCAATGGTCAAGGCGAAGGAGGCGGGGCCAAGCAAGTGCGTCAAGCATCCAATCCAAAACAAATTAAAAGTACACAGACTTTCCTCAACCCATTTGGTCACAGCTATTGCTTGTAATAAACAGACTGGGCTTTAACAACGTTTCCAAGATGGACCAGTCGCAAGTTCTCTGAACACAGTGACACCACAGGTCCTTCAACAAATCCTGACTTAGACCATCGAACCAAGAAAAATACAAAAAAAAAAACAAAACAAAACAGGAACTGAATCAAGGTTTTAACAGTTAGCTACTGTTACTGTCAGATTACTGGAAGGTTTGGATAGAGAGGAAAAAACAGGAATGAATACAAGCAAATCAAGTTATGGAATTGCAGTCCAATAAGAGGGAGTAAAGAAAAAATGTATAATAAATAATCAAAACGCAAAACGTCTTTTTTTTTTTGCATTTTTTTGCTTTAAATTAAGTTTCATTTTGACAAAGTGTAGTTGCAGAACAAGTCATTGAAGTACAATATATTAAACTGTGAAAAAAGGAAAAAAAAACTGACAAAAAAACGTCTTCACAATCTTTAGATTAATATGGAAGATCATAATTTAACATAAAAGAAAATATATTCTATTGTTCATTATCCAGATAAATACAAAACAAAATTAACAAAAAAATGCATATGATCACCAATAAATATGTTTCTGATAAGTTAAATAAGCAGTGACAAAGGAAAACCTTCTGTCTGGAAAGGTTTTCAAATAATAATAACCGTAATAACATTAATAAAAAATAATTATCATATGAAGAAAGCAAAAAGGAGCAGGAGGGGTGAAGGTAGGGGTGGAATGGGCACAGAGAGTGCTCCTGGGAGCAGGCACGAAACAGCTTGGAGATCCGATCCTGTCAAGTGGCAGGATTTACAACTGCATGATGGGAATGCTGGAATTCCCCGGATCGGTGGAGATAAGGGGAGGAGAGAGAGAGAGAGAGAGAGAGAAGTGGGACAAAGTCCTACCGGTTTAATGATCAGTTAGATACAAAGACTTCCTTCCCAAACAAAAATGATAGAGCCAGTGACCAGCAACAGGAGGATACACCTTTAAGGAGGTGGGAACAGAACCAACTTCCAGTTCACAGTCCTTCCTGCAGACTCACCCTGTCCACACATTACATAAGACTGGGGCCTGGAGAACGACGGAGGGAGAAGATGAACCGTGACGAGGAGGGTGGAGGTGGGCGGAGAAATGAGAATAGAACCAAGTAAACAGTAGTCCATTCACCCTAAACATATGCAAACAAACTGCACCACCCAGGCACTTTTTTCTTTTTACAATCTTAAAAACTATTCATATCTTTGCAGGGTCTGTTAATTATTTCTTTTTTTTTTTCTTTTTGTCCTTTTGCTTTGACTCAGTCTGTAAGAACGGCTACAGCTGGTAGATCTACAGTTAGGTTAGTGAGCACCCTCTAGCTAGCTCAGGGGAAGTGGTATTGTCAGGAAGAGGGGGTGGAGTCGAGGGAGAGAGAGAGAGGGAGAGAGGGGGGGCTAGTGCAATGCACTCCCCTCACCAAGGCCACTTGTGTTGCTACACATTCAAGAACAAATGAAGAACAAAATGAAGAAAAACGAAAATAAACAAGTGGCACCTGGGAAGAAACAGTCAATTCTTGTTCTCATGATTCTCATTGTTCAATTTCCTCTCCTTTTTTTGGCACTATGACACCTGGCAGGGTAACTGCTGTGAGTGATTGCGTTTTTTTGTTGTTGTTGTTTTGCTGTGCAGAGATTAACAAAGGGTGAAATGATGATTTGAGAGTTCCCTTAATGATAATGCTAACAGAACCACTACGGTGGTGTTAAGGGACAACAGGAAGCAGAGGTAGAGGGGAGTGCCGTGTTCTCTTTGTGTCATCAAACTTAAAAAGTCATTGGCGGGTGGTGCGTGCGGGGTATGTTTTGTTTCTTTTTTTTAGTCGTCAGAGGTGGAGAGGCGGCTGAAGATGGGGAGACGGCGGGTGTTGTCCAGCGTCGGGGACTCAGAGCCGCTCAGGCTGCCTCCAGAGCTGCTCTGGTAGCCCTCTTGGTCTGACAGCGAGTCAGGAGGGCTGGATGGAGACTCAAACATGGGAGGGGATTCCAACATGGGTCTGAAATAGTACGGTGTGCTTGTTGGAGAGGGAGGTGCAGGGTTGTTGGACTCTGAGCCTACAGGACCGGCACTGAGGCTGGGCCCGAACAGGTTGGCCAGCTCCTGGCTGGAGTAGGTGAAGGGGTTACTGCTGGGCCAGTCGGAGACCTCATCAGGGAAGAACATGGGCGGTGGGGTGACAGAGGTGGGGCTGTCTCTCAGCCCAGCTGAGCTGGAGAAACCCGCGAAGCTGTAGCTGTGCTGCAGCCGAGGCTTTTCCATCTTGTTGGAAGAGTTTAGAGGGGAGTTCTGCTGAGGGGGCCCGCGGCGCTCCTCAGCGTTGTGGATGAAATGGCATCGTGGCCCGTATGGGCAGAAACCAATGGTGTGGAAGGTGCGGCACAGCTCTGTTTTGTATTTGGGATGGCGGCTCAGGCTGCGCAGTTCGTGGATTCCGTGAGCAAACTGGCACTTGTCACCATACTTGCAGGAGCCGTTCTCCTCGAAGGGCCTGCACAGCTCCGTCTTGTATCGGCTGGAGTTCACCTGGTTGCTGCCGCTGGTGCCGGTGGGACTGGCGGGCCCCAGGCACTTGTTGATGAGCCTCTCGCCCGTCTCAGAGAAGGAGCGGTCTCGCAAGCGGATCTCCTTGTTGTTGCTGGTGTTGCCAACCCCTGAGATGAGTGAGTGGTGGTCTGCTGCCTTCAGGCTGTTCAGAAACTGGTTCTGGCTGAACTTTGTGCTGCTGACAGAGTGCCGCCGCTGGTACACGCCTCCCACCGAGGGAGATCCCACCGCTTTCCTGTCCAGCAGGGCTCCGGTGGGATTGGAGATGGGCATGTTGGCGCCAGTGCAAGGGACAGACATGTGATGTGGGGCACTCAGGTTGTTGTTGTAGCTGAGAAATTTGTTGTTCTGCAAAGACATGGACAAAAACAAACAAACAACATAATTAGATTCTATCGAGTTGAACAAAAATATCTGTTTAGGAAAGACAAGTCATTGCAACACAGTAAAGTCTGGGACATGTGGACATATTTAGTAGAAATAACTGTTCAGAAATGGTATTAAGGAACCTGGATATGGTAGGAATCAATAAGCTGTGGACATCAGTCTACACTTATGGACATCTTTCACAGCTAATGGATGAAGACAGAGCAGACTAACCAATGGTTAATCAAAATAAATCACTGGTACTGTATGTGATACTTGGCTAGACAAACAAATATTTCTAGTATTCGTCACGCCTATTGGCTTATTTGTGACCAATAAAGACATTCAGACAGTTCTGGCTCACTTCAGAAGTGCACTATTTCACAAATCTGTACTTAAAGCAGCCCAACGTTGATTCCCAACCCAGCCTTGGGCCGTGTCTTGGCTAAAAGAGCGGGGCAAAAATCAAGCAAATGTTCCTCCATTGGTAGGAATGGAGGGAAAAACCAAGAGTTTCTTAAGTCGTGACTGTTCTCTTTGGCTCTGACAACACGAGCGGATGCAGGCCTATAAGAACAGCAGCTGGTTTGGCAGCTTGCCCTGGTGTGGAATGTGTGCTGCCTGTTGAGTAAATGGAGCACATGAGAGACAGAGGAGGCCAGTTTGGCTGCATCATTTGAAAGATAATGAAAAGAACCCGAGTATCCTGTTGCATTTCAAAGTGAATATTCATTTGGGATTGCAATGTGCAAGGAAAGTAATTGCGGGGAAGGGGAAAGGGAAATGGAAAGTTGGCCTGGTGGAAGTCATTGAAATGCAAATGCAAAAGCTCTTTGCTGGAGTTCTGGGAGTTGAAAGTGAGAGAAAAGAGCGCGGGTTTTATATTTAAAGTGTTAAAAGTTGATGGCAAGCACTCTAATGGCAGCTAAAGCGAGGGTAAAGCCAAGTAAAGCTGGTCAATGATTAACGAGCATGCGGCTGCTTTGTGAGCAGCATTAAAAGTGGCGCAAAAATCTGGCCCCGAAGAGTCGACACGGTAACGGTAGCAGCGCCGAAACTCGCACCAAAAACATTCAGTTTAAACCCAACCGACGCAGCAACGTTTGGAAAAGTAAACGTAGGTGGCGAAAGTGGAATTAAAAATGTTTGCCGTACTCTTGGCCCAAGTTCGGCTCACAAAAACAAGAGGGAGAGAGAAGTTAGTGGGAACGACGAGAGAAAACGAAGCAGAGTTCGAGGCCGCGGGGCGCAGCAGCGACAGCAGCCGTCATTCCTCCACAGTGAAGCCGCTGCTAACTACAGGACCACAAAACACCCGGAAAAACACAGTGGGACATAGAGAGGAGGAAGAAAAGAAGAGGGAAAAAGTTTTCAAACTACCTTGTTCATCACTTCGAAGTCGAAGAAAGGCGACACCACGGCTGTGGTCATCTTTGCAGCGACCAGGATCAAGTCAAAGTAGGAAAAAATAATAAAAAATATCAATAACAATAGTTCTGGGGGTAAAAACAAAGCAGCAGCAGAGTTGCTTGTTGTAAAGTTGCGCAGGTCTTTTTCTCCAGAGTTGTGTTGCCGTGTTTTTGACCCTGCAGAACTTTCCCCCTCTGCCCTGAACCAGGCTACGACATTTGCTTTTTAATCTCTGCGGGAGGAGTCAGCAGGAGCTGGGCGTCAACTTTCAGTTCACTTTTTTCTCCTCCTCTTGTAAAATCTTCTTTAACGTCGACTCCTTTCCTCTCTCCTTTCCTCTTCTCTCCTCCTCTTTTCCTTTCTGTGCAGGACCAACTTGCACTGATTTGAAAATTTGTTGGAGTCTCACAAACAAAGTTCTGTAGCTGTTCTGGGAAACGTGCAGTGAAGTCCACTTAATGTTCCCCAAGTTTTTACTTACATTTCTACGGAATAATTAGGAAATGTAAGAGTTAATAAGAAAAAAAAAGTTGAAACGCTGACTTAGATACAGGAAGTGTGAGAATAAAAGTGAGAAGTATTTGAATAAAACCAGGGTTAGAGTCAGAGTATGGGGACATTTCTTGATAAGTTTTAAGTCTGACTTTTGACACTGAATTTAAAGCTTAGTTTTCTGAAAAATATTTCCCTTAGTTTTTTAATGTATTCCTTTAAATGTTATACTGTTCTTTGAGTACTGGACATTTCCTCGATATTTAAATTTCAGTTTTACAAATGCAAAATTTCTTGGAGTTCTGGCCTTGCTTCAGGAGCCTAAATTGTGTGGGGAAGTTACTTTGTTGTGTCCTCCTCCCCTTCTTTTTTAACTAAATTGTGACTCATTTCCCCTCTCCTTTCTTCTCTTCTCCTTTCCTTTCTCTGCGGGACAAACGTACAGTGGTTTGACGACCTGTTACAGACTCAATAACAAAGCTGTGTAGCTGTGAGGAGACACAGGCAGTGGAAACAACTGACTTGGTTTTCACTGTTCCCTCTGTTTATATCTGGACCAATGTGTATTTCCACTGTTTATATNCAATTTGTACCTAACAATGCAGTTTTATCTATTCTAATATGTTAAGTATATTTTTTTGAAACCAAAGCTGCTTTAAAGGAAACACAGAACTTCAGTTTCATTGTTAAACCACTGTTTTTTTTGTATGTGCCTGTTCTATAATCATTTCTGTAATGATACAAATGACATACTTTCAGTTGCATTTTCAGAACACAGTGAGGTTTCAACTTAACGTCTATAGTAAGCTTCAACCGTTTTTTCTTTTCTTGTGTATAGTTATGCAAATTACTATTTTTAGAACATTTTCCACCACAGTAGCAAATGACAGCCCACGGGCTAAATGTCATGTCTATAATAACTTGTTACACTTGTCACTTTAATAAAAAGGTTCCGGATTAAATCAATATTATTAAACAAACTAATTAACTTTCTTTAGGTGACTTTAAGTCTGTGCCCAAACTGAGTGTTTTCACAGTCTCTCATGGTGAAGCCAGGTCAGTGAGGAGTCGGTTAGTCTTTTTACATTTTTCTAGTTAAAACTACAAACACAACACCTTATCCAAATGTTGTGTACACAAGCTTGTAATTCATTCATTATTCATTGATTCATTATTTGAACTGCTGCTAAGGTATTCTATGTATTCGTGCAAAACAAACAAAAAACAACTTTAGCCGTGTTAGTGCTAATATCTGTGGCAAAACATGAATTATGATAAATTACAGAAAAAAACAACGATTTCTAACCGTTCATAAACTACTACTAGCAAAAATTATTATGAGTGGATTTGAAACGTTAAGAAACTAAATCTGTGTCTAAATAATATCCATTGTGGTGTTTAAATAGGTCACACTTGTTGTTTTTTTTATTTTTAAACTCATAATTATTGTGTTAAATAACATTAATATAAAATGGAATACGCAGATTAAAAGAGGCCGTTGTTTGACTAAGTCGATTTTCGACACTCTTCTCTTTGTTAACTTGGTCAGAGGAGCATGTTTCCTGCTGTGTTCTGACCATAAATAGTGTATAACTGTATAAATGTGACTCCTCACGGTTTATGTCAAATCCCGGGGGGGGGGGGGGGATAAAAAAAAAAGTTGTCTACAACTGTATTTCCTCCTCTTCCTTACGTTGCAGTCTGGGGTTGTTTACTGGGAGGCACTGCTCTGTCTTCAGGCTCTCAGCTACCCGCCACTACTCTGTAATTAATTTACTCCTAATTGCCGGAGTGTAACGTCACTTGCGGGACTTTCCGGTGAATCCAGGCAGCCGGAGCTTTTAACATTTCCCGGCAACAAGTGTTGCCGGGAAATGGTTAAAAGCAACACTTTTTTTATGCACTCCCGCACACTTTTCATGTCCTCTTCCAGCTTCCTTACCAGCAGTCAAACAGTCTCTCGACCTGAGCTTTCATCTCGCCCACCTGATTAAGCCACACTTGGCTTAATCAGGTGGGTGAGAATTTGATATGGGCCGTGACCTCACCAAAGCTTGAGCACAGCCACGGTGTCACAATGACACTCTGAGCCACAAAGACTGAGCCCTGAGTCAGACCTATACAGTACACATCTATTATAGTTCCTCCTCCTCCTCCTCCTTCTGCTCTCTGACGTGTCTGGATCCATGATGGAGCAGCCATGGGCCATGTGCAGAGTCAGTGTCAGGGTTGGGTTGCAGTAGTAAGGAGGAGAGAAGGGAGGGGGAGAGGAGCAAAGGAAAGAAAAAACAGGATTGGAGAAGAAGAAAAGAAGCTGTTAACAACAACAACAGAAAAAAAGAGAAGAAGGTTGGAGCTGGAGGAGGAGGAGGAGGAGGAGGAGGATGGTGTGAGGGGGAGATTTATGAGAGACGTTTATTACTACACAGCACTGCCTCAGGGAGATGTGGGGGGAGAAATGGAGAGAGAGAGGCAAAACATTCCCTTTCCTCTTCCTCCTCCCTTTTCTCCCCTTCTCCTCGTCTCCGGCTGCACAGGAGCCACACAGGGGGTGGAGAACTTTGTCCCACTGTAAGCAGGCGTGGAGGAGGCGCAGGAAGTTTGTTTTTGCACCAAAATGGTGAATTTAGTTGCGATAGAAACTTAGGAGAGAGTGAAGCTCAAAGTTCTCCGACTTCACCTCGGAAGAAACATGATCTTTGGGATGGGATCAGAGCCAAAAGACGACAAAGAATTCTGACTCATTTCCTCCAGAAGTATGAAGAAAAACACAGAATTCTGAGAGAAAGATGTTAGAACTCTGGCTTAATTACTGCTATTGTGAGAAAAAAAACAATCATCCATGTTATACCATTAAAGGCAGACATGAAGAAGAATGCGGTTTTCTCAGTTAGTCTGAGAGTTTTTTACAGAGAGCTTTTCTCAGATTTTTAACTAAATCTAACAGCGCTCAGTTTGATGGACAGACTGTAAAGTCAGAATTTAAAAAAAATATAATAAATATTTATGTATTTCTGATTTCAACCAAAGTAATTCAAGAGTTTTTGAAATTACAAAAAGTTTAGCTCAAGACAGAAATTTGAGATTGAAATTAGACCTTGTGGGGTGAAGTCAGAATTAGGTTGTCCTAAAATGAGAACTCTCAGATTTAAATGCAAAGTCTTAGATCAAAGGCAGAGTTAGAATTAAAAGATTTTAAAATCAAAATTGTCCGAATAATCACAGAATGTTTAATTTGAATGAAGAATTCTCAGATGGAAGTACAACAGTGTAGGTTAGAGTCATAATGTGAAGATTTGAAGACCAAAGTCAGATTGTGATGTAATAATCACATTAATGTGAGAAAAAGTCAGTGTCAGAGGACGGCTCCTTATCTCTCTCCCTGGTTATCTGCGGCCATGTCTCCCTGTTGGAGAGATGTTGATATGCTGGCAGTGAAGTGTGTCAACGTGAGCAAGAGCAGGACGTGCGATTTAACATAAAAAGAGTTTTACGAGCGGCGGCTGTGTGGAGCAATCTCCCCCTGGAGTGTTCTCACAGACGACAGAGTGGGACGACAGACTGGCCTCATCACGTCTGCAGTTCAAAGGCCTCGCACCTGATTGATTAAGTGGATCAGAACGATTGCGTTGCCCCAGGTGGAAGAAGCTGCATCCTGACCTTTTCTTTTACCTTCAAAGTATTAAATATGTCTCTGCTGGTGGGAGCTGTATCTGTGCATTTGTGCGAACCTGTCCAAAGTCTGGCCCAGGGGCCAATCGTGGCACTTGAAAAAATTCTCTGTGGGCCGGAACATATTTATAGGCTTTGTGCTGGTCCTTTTTGCACCTGGGTAACTTTTAGTTGTATTGCTGTGTAGGTTTTTTTCACACACGTCAGTCTAACCTTTAGCTGTTTGCTCCAAGTCTTTTTTTTTTTTTTTCTGCCATAAATAATATATTTAAGTTTGGTACCTCTAATCCTTTTAGTTAGCTCACAGGCTAACATGCAGCTATTTTCTCTTTGGAAAACTTTGTTTCTGGCCAAATAATGTGTTATGTAATTATTAACATTCCAAAGTGTTTAACCCAAGTTACATTTTGGCACAAAGTTTATTTAGCCAATAAGTTTTCATAGCTCATGAAAACCAAGTGAAAATCCATTTGTTTAACCTTTAGCTGTGTCTTTTAACTTTGTATTTTTATCAAACCTTGTTTCCACTTCTGACTTTGTTTTTATATATTTTTTGCATTTAGCTCTCGTTTGGCTAGTCTTTAGCTTTGAGGGCTTAATAAGACTGAACTCTGTTGCAGAGATCCAACCAGAACTGCGTGACCCCAACACAATAACATTGTCTCTATCACAAAAGCAGTTGTTATATTACACACTACACTAAACACATTTGTTGATCTCCAGAGAAACATAACAATAGCCTGAAATATCACAGGAGAAGCATTTGGCTTGGGTTTTTTTATTGCTAAATTCAGTCACCACAGAGAGTTAATAGATGAACCGAAAAGTAAAAAAAAGAGAGGAAATTTTACAGCATTTTGTCGAAGCACATGGGGTCATCAAGGCCAAAAGCAAATTCAATAACAAGCAGCTGACTCTGCATGGTGGAAATGTCTTCTGTGCTCGTGTCCTTGGCCTCCAGAAGCCTCATAACGCTGTCGTTGTTTACTTTAATACTCTCAGATGGCTCGTGTGTCTGCCCTCATATTGTGCGACTCGCTCATCCTTCCAG